GATTTTCACGCATTGTAAAGTTTCTAAATTAGCCAATCTATAAGCTCAAGTGAAAATGTAATATACTAGCTTATATCAAAACGACCGAGGTTGGGATCCACGATCTTAACCACTACACCACGATTAGTCTCAGTACAAATTTTAGTACTTTTATTTGACTTCCAACAGAAAGTGACTGTAGAAAATAAAAAATTCCCAAGTCTCATTACACCCTTTCGCTTGCAATTTCATCTCTGCAATTATATATTGTCATGAACCGCAGTTTAGGCATATTTACAAAAAAAGTCTGTATATTTTTTTTGTGTTAAAATATGTATGAGAAAAGTTTGCCACATAAAACCAGTTACCCTTTTTGTTTAGGCTGACTTAATCTGAAGTCGATGAAACTTCGAAATACATTCTGAAGCAATATACAAGAATCGCGCTTTCAATTTATTTTTAAGATTTCCGAGAAGAAAAAGTATATTTTCCGAGGAAGACTTTCGACGTTAAATTTCGTCTTATGTGAAAATGATATTTTCATATAAAAATAATCGAAAATAAAATCAAAAAGTGGAATATAGTAATTAAGATGCAAGATATATAGGCACATATATTTATACATATATAGTTCAATCAAGTATTTACAAATTAACACACACACACACACACATTGTGTGCGTTAATTTGTAAATACGTGATTGAATTATATATGTATAAACATACATGCTTATATATCTTACATCCTGATTACTATATTATACTTCTTGATTTTATTTTCGATTTCCAACCAGCGGCTTCTAACCTGTGGGTCGCGACTCTCAGGTGGGCGCATAGCTGTTCTTAGGGGGGCGCATACATCTGTTTCCAGAACTATTTTCGAAAATAACCCAAAATTTTTCGAAAGAAAAATAAACAAAAAATAATTAGTTTTTAAACATATTGTTACATAATATTGCATATTAATCTGTAGTCTGATAACATCAGATGAGTATTTATAAAATAAAATTGTTGCAAAAATTCTTTTTATTAGGGCAGAAGGCGCGCTGCAAAAAAGGTTGGAAACCACTGCATTATATATCGTGCAGTATAAAATTTGATTGTAATAAAATTAGAGTGTTAGAAAAACTAAGGGCAGTATTATTTTTCACAAAACGGCATGAAAAGGTTGGAAACCACTGTGCTAAAATGTTATATTAAAACAATGGTTCTCAACCTTTTTTGCATCGCTCTAATAAAAAAAATTGTTGTGCCTCTCGTAATTATTTTAACTATTTTAATTCCTAAATATTCTTCTTTTATCTATGCCTAAATACTTAATTGATATTATCAGACTACAAATTAATATGCAATATTATGTAAAAATATGTATAAAAACTAATTATTTTTGTTTATTTTTCAATAGTGTTTCCAAAATTTTGGATTATTTTCGATAATAGTATTCTGGAAACTGTTGTACGCGCCTCCCTTAGAACAATCTGGCGCCCCCCTCAGAGGACACGCCCCACAGGTTGGAAGCCGCTGTTACAATGTTAAAAAAAACTTATTTTGTTGGAAATTATAGCACATAAATATTGCGTAGATTTTATTCAAATAAATATAAATTCATCAAAAAATATATTATTTCTTTATAATAATATATCAACCATAGATTGTTATAAACTAATTTGTTATTTGGCATTTGTGCGTGTTTAAACTTATAGAAATTGGTGAGTCACCAACTTACCACATGCCGATTAGAATATTATAAATTGTTAAAATAATTAAAAATAACAAAATGAGCATTAATTACCTTTAAATTTTCAGAAGAAGTCTAATCAAAATCACAGCAAACTAGAATAGAATCTATCTTTTCTAACAAGATGGATGGATGGATCCTGAAAAATCCAAACATTTCAAAATGGCCGAGTGTCTGATTGATTGCAAACACATTGATCGATGAACGCCTTGTTGCACAACGTGCATTAAACAGTACTAATGTATAAAAAAACAAATACTGCACATAACAATTGTTAACATAATAAATGATAGATAGTTGTTCTATATTTTAATCACTTCACAATCACTTCAACCAAACAATTCACTAAAAAATTCACTGGTCTGTTCTAAGCAGGAATTACACTAGAAATAAAAACTTCAAGACAACTACACGCACGAATCCTCGCAAATAAATGTTAAAGAATTTCCATCTTTTAATAGTTCACAATTTATAAACTATACGAAATATAGTAACACCTGTAATGTTTAACACTATGAACGTGATCAAGAAATAAATTATTAGGAAATAAATATTAATTTAATTCACATCGATCTATTCGCTCGAAAACGACTTGTACAACTGATTGATGGTTCATACTGATTATACTGAGCGTTTGCAAATTAATCGGAAGTCAGTTGCAAATAAAAATTATAGCCAACAAAATAATTAAAAACTTTTTAAAACCTGAGAACATTTCTCACCTGCAAACTTCACCCTTATCTGAGTTTGAAAATTATGAAATTAATATATGCAAAAATAATTTAAAACAAATAAATTAAAAGTAAGAGTAATTTTAAATAAACTTAAAGAAAAGGTAAGTAAGCAGGTAAATGAAAGAGGAAAAAATCTAATTAAAACAGATTAATGTTCCAAAGTAAAACATGATTTAAAAATGATGTTCAAAATACTTAATAATGATAATTGAAAATATATATTATTAATTATTAATAATACTAATTAATAATATTATCTAATTATTATATAAAAACGTAATTAATTATACATAATAACTAGATAATTGACTAGATTAAATCAATTAGAAAAAGCAAAACTATAAGCTCTAAGGGGTTCTATAAGCTATTGTGACAATATAATTTATAGATGAATCAAATTTAGATACCGATTCAAGTTACTCTGTTAACTGCTAGAAGATTATAGCAAAATTAAATTTACATCCCTATAACAGTTATCTGGATAACTAGTTGCAATATACAAATAATATGCAAAATTATTGACAACTCCTATAAGAAAACACGTATAAGAAGTTTGCACTACATTCAGTTCACTTTTCAATAAGAAATTAGTTCTTATTATCTAAAACACCCTGATTTATCAAGCATATCTATTAATTGTATTGTGAATTAAATCTTAAATAGTTTTAATATACCTAAACATTTTTCAAGCAAATTTAATAAACACGCTATCAATAGATTGAGTATAGTGGTATATGATCTAGTTATATCAATCAGAATTTGTTTCAATCTGGAATATTATATACTACTCGAGATATTAAAATTACACATAATAAACGTTCTGTTAAATGATGTTATTGTTATAAGTCAAGGATGGAATTAAAAACATCTATGCAATCCATACTGAACTTACTATCGTGATTCGTCGAAAAGTTGAAGTTGATTGAATATTAGGTGCTTTTCTTAAGTTATGTCTTAAGTATTGTCATTTAAGTAATCATCATTATTTATGTAAAGTATTTCTATAAACAACTTACAATTATTTTTAATATAATTATTGCCCTTTTATACGTAACTGTTTTAAGTAAGAATAAACATCACCTTGGTAGGCCAAAACTAAAAATTGCAATAATTCTGTATGCTGATACTATTGTTGTTTTAAATAATCTTATTTTGGATTATTGTTATTAAATTATGTTAACTATTATGAAATCTTGATAAATTCAAAAATTATATTTAAAAACTTTAAATCATTCGAACTTTAAAAACTACTAATAATATATATAATTTCCATGCTGATATCGTTATGACACAAAATAACTAAAATTTTAAATGTAATGTTAATTTAAATAAAACATTTAATTATGCATTAATTACCTTTACTAATCTACAAATATACATTCTATGGAATTGGAAACATTAATAATACACTCTATAGTTTTCAAATTAAAAAGAGGTAGGTTTTGCTCAAAATTATTCTTTTTGCATCATTTCAGCACAAAATCAAACGAAAAATAAAACAGTCAATAATTTAGTTAAATAATTATGCAATTAGTTTTCACCTGACAACTTAAATATTATGAATGTTTTATTTTAAAATGAATGATTAAATGGTTTGTATTAGTCTTTTATAAACAGAAACCAAATATTTGTACATTTCAGTTATATTTTAAGAATATTTTCTTGCTCTTTTCTTTGGTAATATTACATTCCAAAACATTTTATTTATATTTAATCATTCATCATATTAATCAAATAATAGTTTTATTAAAATGCATGATTAACTTAAAATTATTGTCAAAAATATATATCAAATCATTCATGAGAGTTTCAAACGTATTTTAAATTATGTAAAAGGTTTTAATCCAAACTTATCTAAAGATCTTACTACAATTTAGGTCAAAATGTAATTCAATAATAAATAAACGATAGAAAATCTCATGATGCTTTTTTTATATAATCTAAAACCACTCTTGTGAATCAGTATTAAAATTTATAAATAATTTCAACAGTCTCTATATATTCTAATTACAAAAAATATTTGTATTCTACTTAATCAAATTAGTTATTGTTTCGAATAGGAGGCCACAAAAAAGTTTTGTGTGGATCAAAGACTATCACAGGGAATTGTGCAGAACACACTTTGACATCACACAGAAATTATTATCTTTAAAGGTAAAATGTAATTAATTAATTAAGAATATGCCATAGTTCTTTTCGAAACCAAAATCATATTATAGATCAACATTAAAGTAATATCCTAATTAGAAACATATTAGAGAAATCAAACAAGATGGAAAAAAATTAAAGATGCAACCATTCCATCTTGGATTCAACTACCTAACTATTTTTGTTCATTTTCATTGTTATAATCAGTGCATCTACAAATATATAAATCATAAATAAAGATATTTCTTGGGGTAAGTTAACATAATAAAATCTAAGTGTAAAACAAATATAGAAAAATCATGCATGTGTTTTATAATATTTTTTATCTCGTTTAATGGTTAATAATATTGACTTTATGAATATAATTTTACTAAATTGTAAAAGAGTTACATACTCTGCCAATTTTATATTCAATTTTCAAAAATTGATTCACATATTTGTATCAAAAGTAATTTTAATAAAATTATTAATTCTAGTACTATTCGCAAACTGAATTAATAATGTTATTTCATAAATCACATGCAAGATTTTCATTGCAATTTTTTAAATGTATGCTCTTTTATTACTATGCATTGAGATGAAAAATTTATAAATTGATTCTGAGCAGCAAATAAACCCACTAAAAATTTGACACCAAAATTAGATAATATATAAGCTCCGATATGAAAATTTCTACTCTTAGTAAATTTAAGAAGAAACATATTGTTTTATTAAATAATGCTCAAAATGATTCTAATAAGATTCTAAACATAATCTCACTTTTTTATGTCGTAACAATGATTTTCTTACATAGTAATGTTAAAAAGAGCATACATCATTTATATAACCCACTAACCACTTATACTTAGACCATTATGACGACAATGTTTTCACATTTATATATCAACAATATTTGGAATTTACCTCGGAGACTTGCCATATATGTAATTAGAACAATTTTTCCAATGTTTTAGACAAAGCAAGTGGGCTTGTACTAGGACCTGTTCTTTCAACGGGCTGACCCTCTTTATCAATAATGAATTTAGTAAAATTCCATTTAATGAAATTACCCAGAGTGCCTCCTTGTTTATTTTTCAAATAAATCCACAATGGATGAGCATCGCTACCATTGACATTTACTTTTTCAAACATGTCAAATTTAGCATTTTTTTGTTTGGCAAAACAAACAATTTCTTCATTATTGCCAGGCTCTTGACCTCCGAACTGATTACAAGGGAAAGCTAAAATGCTGAGACCTAAAAGAAAAAAATCACCTGATTTTACCTACAAAGTAAACAATTGCTAAAATACTCAAAAGATATATTTTTACCATGATCTTGATATTTATCCATGAGTTCAGATAACTCTTTGTAATGGTTAGTTGTATATCCACATTGTGAAGCAACATTTACAATTATGCAAACTTTTCCGCGGTATTTCTCGAGAGATACATCTTCTCCTTCAATACTTTTTGCTGTAAACTCATATATCGACTTAGCTGATTTTGGATCTTCTGGATTTGCCATCGTTTCTAATAGAAACAAAATAAAATATATTAAATGTTGTTAAAAAAAATATAATTCTATAGATATATTTTAAGTTAAAATATGACTTAAGCCATTGAGTAGAAAGAAATTTTAGGAGAAATGTTTAAATTCATTACTATTTACAATATTCACTGTTTCGATGTTAAAAACAAATTAAAAAAAGTATAATTCTAGTTGAGAAAGTCAGTTTAGTAGAAATGTAAAATATAAATATTTGTAACTACATTACTATTTACAAGTATTTACTGTTTCAGCCATTGAGTAGAAAGAAATTTTAGGAGTAATGTTTAAATTCATTACTATTTACAATATTCACTGTTTCGATGTTAAAAGCAAATTAAAAAATATATAATTCTAGTTGAGAAAGTCAGTTTAGTAGAAATGTAAAATGTAAATATTTGTAACTACATTACTATTTACAAGTATTTACTGTTTCGAGAACGAGCTTATTAAAATATCACATTAAATGTGAAATTATTTATGAAAAGTAAGATCAAAAATTAAAATATAATGATATAAAATGTTTGATTTCAAATAAAAGTAATTTAATTTAGTTGTTTTATAACTTATGCATATTTGGAAGTAGTTGGCTTCATAAATAATTAAAGCACATAAACAAAATTATAAAATAAGATGAATTGAATACATTATTATATGAATATTTATTATTCAAAAAAATAACTATCACCTTATAGAATAATTAACTGTAGTTCGATAATATAATTTTTGAAATTTAGTATAAAATTGATTAGTCATTATTATACTCTAAATATTTTGAACAACTTAGGCTAAAGTACAAAATATTATGAAGCAATATTTAAAACAATTATGTATTTATCACAAGTATTAATTTAAATGAACTTACTCGAATCAAATACCAAATTAATGCCACAGGTCACAATTAATAATTATAATTAGGTACTGCGCTTATATACAATTAATATTTAATCAGCTCTGAAATAATTTATAAGTATTGAATCAGCGTGACATTTCGTTTTTTATCTTTTGACAGTTTGCACGAAAAAGCTGTAAAGAGCCATCTATGTGTCATATGCTTGAACTGACGAAAGTTTGTGTAAAGCAATACCAATAGATGGACAAATTGCAACAAAATTGTTAAGTTGGTTGAACTGTTAAAACTTAAAACAGTTTTTCAAATAGTGAATAACGTTCAATTTATTTCTATAGTAATCAATTAATAATTAATTAATAACTAAAGTAAAATCCCGAATTTTGGTAACATAGTATGATCTCCCAAGTCTCCCAAACAGATGAATAATCTATATAAATCATTAAAACAAACTAGTGGTGCATGGCATCGTGCCTTAAGGCAAATAGCTGAAACTTTCCGTAGTAGAATTAAATATTCGAGGGAAAAAATCAGTAATCATATTAATCAATACTGATTAATAACAACTGTTTTAAACATTTTCAAATAGATAATTATAATCAGTATATATTTTATCGTTCATAAAATATACAGTGACTATCTTATCGCTCAAAACACTTGAGAAAGTTTACATTAGCAAGAGATGCCGAATGAATCAACCTGAGGATATATTATTCACGATTAGAATATCGCATTTGAAATATATACATACTTTTTCAAACTGACTCTTAAGTTTAAAATTTATATTTGAAGTATAACCCTTTGTATATTTTTGAAAAAATTGAAAAAAAAATCTGAAAATTTTTGCTCAAACCGTGTAAGTAAAATTTAAAAATTAACAATCATGGTACGTAACCCACCAAAATTGTAACAAAACTAGTACACATGTTGAAAATCTCTGAAATAGCTGATAATTTAATGTGCATATGTCTAATGATCATTTTAGACCGTAAATATCATTTTTGAAATTTGATCAATTCAAGTAAAATGTTTTTTGAATCATTCAAATTGGTTACTCCGCTCCCTCAAAAATTTAATTACCGTTTCGGGATCAGCACGTCTTCTCATCAATAGGAATCGAATGTTTTTTGAATTCAAATCGGTTAGCGCCCGAAATCGTAGACGCAAAAATTCACACACACACACACTATTAATTTTTTCTTCGTATTAAACCTTCGCATCAAACCTTCAAAACGTGAAGATATGCAAAAATTTTTAATTTGGATTTTTTTGCGATTACTATAACTTACCCTATGGGAAAAGTTAATAACTTTAGCATATTACAAGGAAAAAAATAATCAATATAATATCTCTCCTGATTGCAATAGTAAAAATGGAAGTGCAATAATAAAAGTCGAAAATGTATGCATATTATTAGATACATTATATAACTCTTTAGATAAAAATCAGTACATATATATGTGTGTATAAAAACATTTCAGACGGTGCCAAAAATATAATTAAACTATTTGTAAGTGGTATTTTGCCTCAAGGCAAGTTATTTGAACTTCCCGAAATGTGTGAATAATCAATAATAAATTAATTATTAAAACCCGAACACGTGTCTAATACAATTATACAATTTCTAAAAGCAAATGTTCAAAATTCAATAAATTTAGAAAGAAACGGCTTGACCGATCCTCGCGTAAAACTGATAAGCGCTAGTCCTCAATCTAGATAAATCAAATAGCTTTTAAATTTTTTAAATCTGTTTAGCAGTTTTTGAGAAAACGTCGATAAAGGTAGAGAATCAGGCACACACATATACACATACTTTTTCCAAAATTGGTCTAATTCGATTCAGAGTAGCTTGAAAAGTCGAGAAAACGTAAAATTAGCAAATCGGATTTTGTCGCGAAAACAATAACTTCTGCTTCGGGAAGTTAAAAAACTAAAATGTTTAGCAGACATCCATCCAGTTATTAAAATAAAACAAAGTTAGTTTTAAAAAACCTTCCATATGTTTTAAGTCTCAGATTGACTCTTCTTCGGTAGATGTAATGCAAAGTTATTTTAATTAAAAGACACAAAAATTAATAAAAGATAACAATCACATTTATATAAAAGAATTACTTATTTAATTCATAAAACTAAAAAAAATATAAACAACTGTAATTTTGATTGATCCAACTACAATTATTTTGAACAAACTGATGTACTGACAAGTGAGTTTTTTCAAATAATTTGTTTCTTATATTCACTAAAGAATAGTCATAAATAGCACGAAGCGTGTGATAGATTTATCAAAAATATATAAATTTTGCTTTTCTTTCTTTTTTAATAACTGGATGTATGCTCCTTAAAAAACATTTTTTTCTAGCCAAAATAAGTAATAGTAAAATTATTTCTAGTCAAAAATAATGAAATTGAAAAGTGCATATCCCAAAACTACCAAAAGAAAAGAAATCTCAGGGGTAGTAATAATATTCTCACTAAAAAGAACTATCAGAAAATAGAATAAAATTTAATCAATTAAGTTGAAATTGAAATTAATAATGTTCCAAAAATCTAAGTAGCAATATGAACAAAGAAGAGTTTATAAAAATAATATGTTAGCAAAACCACAAAACCGAGTCTAAATTAGAGCATTTAAATCTGCAGCCAAAAATATTACATTAACGGAAATAATAAAGCAAGAAAAATAAAATAAATTTAAAGGAAAAGCTTGCTAATGTAGATATATTCACATGTATGGTTTATATGAACATTATCATAATATTAAATGATTCAACTTTATGTTTTAGTACTAATAAAAAAGAACTATCGCAAAAATTAAATTTTGGATACTTACAATGTTTATAATACTAGCACACAATAGACTTTAATAAAAATTGTCTTACAATGTACGAGTTCCTACAAGTTACCAAAATTGACTGAATTCTCCCAAATGGTCCATCTACTCTAAACTAGGGAAAATGTCGCCAATCAAGATGAAAATTATTGGCGTCGCCCCAAAATCAATAGAATTGTAGCGAGATATTTATTCAAACACGGAAGAAAATGGAAATGTATACAAAAGTTTACGTCAGAAAAGTTAGAGTAAACAAAAGAATGATTTTACAAGAAAAAAGATATTTGGAAAAAAAGGAATTTTGTGTTCAAGGTTGCTATTCGAAAAAAAGCATTCTTGATACTTGTCATAAAAATATGTGAAAATTAAAGCAAATTTTTACCATTTATTAACTTCCCGTAGGGTAAATTATTGTAATCGTCCAAAAATCGAAATTGAAAATTTTTACATTTTTGGCTGAATATTTTGGCATACCTCAGAAAAAATGGATGTGTGTGTGTATGTATGGATACAATTTTTCGCACGGATCAACCGATTTGAATGGTTCAAAAAACATTCGATTCCTATTGATAGGGAGATATGCTGATTAGTTTTTGACCAAGGCAGGTCGAGCCGTTTCGGAGATACGGAGCAAAGAGCAAAGAAAATAGAAATCGAGTTTTTAAGAGATCGGAGCATCCGATTAGAATGATCTAAAGAACATTCAATCCGTGATGACGGGGAGAAGTGGTGATTAGAATTTGACAAAGGCAGGCCCAATCGTTTCGAAGAAACCGAGCTAAATGTGCAAAAAATTACAGTTTTTGAGAGAGATTTGAATGATTCAAAAAACTTTTTGCTTTTGTTGACAAAATAATTGCTTTTGGATGTTCCACTGTGATTATAAACCTGCATTTCGTACAGCTTGATATCAAGCAGTAGTAATATCAAATTCACATAAAAGTATTTGTGAAAATAGGCCATCCCCGGCAGTACAGCATCAATTTAAAAATATGATCATTATGATAATTCTAAAGAAAAATATATCAAATACAGAAAAGGCACAACAGCTCGTATGATTCTGAAGCTCTGATTGTGGTGTGATTCAAAAACAAAAAAATTACATAATTACATTATAATTTTATCATTCGTATTTTTTGCATCAAAATGATGAACAGTTTTCTTCAAATTAAATACAAAATTTGTATAGTTTTAGGGCGAGCAGTTCATTATTTTAGTTTATTAAGTCTCAGCATTTATACTTGTTTATTTATGGTCTCAGCTGAATTGGCTCTGTAATACAAACGTGGTTTTTAACCAGAACTATTTCCATATTTAATACCCACTTCGACCAGCTTGATATCAATCAGTAGTGATATCATATTTTCTATTGAGATAATAATATAAATGACAAATATGATTGCAATCGAAAATAGTCGTACGAGACATTACTGCAATATATATTAACATCAGTATTATAAATAAAATTATCAACCACTGGGTTGCCTTCAGAAACACTAATAATAAGTTAAAGTATTCTGTACATCAAGCATATTATTCTTATTTCTGTACAAATATGAAAGAAGTTTCAATCAGGCAATTAAAAAAAAACAATTAGTTAATCTTGGCATATAAAAATAATTAAAAAACAGTTTTTTTTTTCTTTTTTTCTAAATATACCAAAACAAATATTTCCAATAAATGTTTCACGTATTATATAAGTATTTTTTCATCAATAATCATTAACCTAATACAATGCCCAAAATATTATTTTCAAATTCACATTTCTGTCGGCTTCAGTGATGAAATCGAAGTCATGTGGAATATGATTCTTTCACACATAATCAAGTTAATGATCCGAAGCGAACAAGTATAATAAAAATTCTACAAAAAATGTGTAAAGTGTGAAATTAATTACAAATATAAAATTAATTTTAAATTTTAAATTAAAAATTTGATACACAAGTTATTTCGTAGGCATTGTGATACACATGCTTATAGAATTCAATTCTAATTTCTGGTATTATTTAAGGAAGAAAATAGGGTCTTCAACCCGGAGATACTTTCATTTCTACGTGGATTAAAATTACGAATTTTATTTGAATAATAATATTTATAATAATAGCTCTCAACTAATCAAAAACTGAACAAATGCACACTTAGGACACACGATTTATGTTAAGATCCAATTATGGCTCAGATACATCATACACAAAAACATATATACTTTTTCCTAAAGTGCTTAACGATTTAGAATGACTTAAAACGTCGAAAAAACATAAAATTAGCAATACAGATTTTTGGCACAAACAAACTTCTCCTTTGGAAAATTCAAAATAACTTATTTCTGAAAAAAATGGATTCTTTAATAGATACAATCATAAAATTTTTAAAGAATTACAAAAAATATAAGGCAATTTAATGTCATTAATGGCAGTGTTAAATTTTAATGTATGTATACATTTAATAAATATGTTATAGTAATGTATAAATAGTTTCATCAAGTTTTAAAAATGGTTCTTTAGCAACTATGGGCAGAATTTCCAGTACAAGTTAGATGTAGACTATTAGACACAAGTTAGATACAAGTTAGACTATTGAAATATATTTTCATAGGATTTTTTTCAAATGATGAACTTACTAATTAATGCTTATTGATAGTGGATTGAAAACCGTGACCGTCCAAACAAAATTTTAATTTAATTACTTACTTACTTAAAAACTTACAAAACTCAAATTATGCCCAAATAGTCTTCCTAAAACTAAATTTCCATATAACAGTTGTCGGTTATCAGAATCAGAAGAAGAAACAGACAGTATTTTTTAAGTGTACAGATTTGCTTCTACCGTTTTTTCCGAAATTCGAGACTTTATTGTAGAAAACTCTCTTTGAAAAATACCAGTTTTCCCAAACATGTACACTTATTAATTTTGAAGTTAAATTGCAAATATAGGAAATTTGCGAAATCTAATGAGTAAATATTTCATAACGTACCTATAATAATTATTCATATTGTGAACTATTTAATAATTTAATTATAGTTATATTGCACAAACAGAATTTGGAACAAAATTATCAATTATCAATTCCCTTATTTTTCGGAAATTGCACGCATAGTAATAAGAATTTCCCATGTGGCCAGAGCATCAACATGTTCTCATCGCCTGATACCAAAATTAGAGTGTTATATTTAGAAAACGTGGTTTCGAGACATTTCATGTTTCATTCAGAACAGTTGATGCTGCTAAATGCTGAACAAAACTGTGTTATTGTTGTCACTCGTGCTCCTTATATTGGGGCCATGTCTTGTCAAATGCAAAAAACGAATACCCATTGGTAAGAATTTGGAAATAATTGGTGAAAAAGTGAGCAAATTATGGTGTTGATATTTGTGATGTCATTCAAGGATAAAAGTTAATTTTGATTGAAGGACTTCGTTGACAGCAAAGTAACGTGCGATTATTACATTCGGTCTAAATGATGACTGATAAATTTTTTAAGAAAAGTATTAATCGGCCTATCCTCGGATAACATAGCTATATTGTGTTATCACTACCCTATAATGTGTATTATTGTGGTAACATAATACGTTTCAAATAAAAGTTTGTTGAAGATTTGTTATTCTCGGTGCACCTATTTTATTTTTCTAAATCTTGTTTTCTTGACGTTGGCTCCGAATGTGTTGGCAGTTTCAAAACTGTCTATACCTTTTGTGTTTTATATTTATTTATACGAGCGTCCATTTAAATTTTTGATACTATCAACAGCTAAAAATTAACCCCCAAATGGAACAAACGTCAACATAACATTAGTTAGGCATATTATATTCATAAATGCATAGCTTCAGTGCCAGCCTATTATTTTGAACCAGTTAATTTTATCTCCTTAGTACCATATAGGATGAAAAAGGTCACCCAAAATAGCTTTTACACTTTTTATAACATTTTGAACGAATTAAGAGTGATCTTGCCGTGAGATGTAAGATTCGGAAATTGGCTCATAAATGATTAAATTCTTAATAAAAATTTTATATTCAGTATTAATTGTAATGTACTTTCATTTAAATAACATTATCCAATATGATTTGTCATTATCTGAATTTAATGTGGTTTTAGCACTTAAGTATGATATATCCGTAAAATGTTAAAAAAATAATAATGATAAAATTTATTAATTAGGTTTTCATTAAAATATAAGCTTAGAATAACAAGACTGAATATAAATTTTGAAAATGATAGTGATAAAGGGTCTGATCGTGTTTCCATACAGAATTGGCTCTACCCTAGCATTTGAATGATTTTGATGCCATGTTATAGGTATTTCCGACAAAATTTGAGATACCAAACTTCAAATTTTTAGCTCATCATTTGGCCTTTGCAATTGAGAGACGACTCACGCGGCTGTTGTATGAGCGCGAGCGTGTACTTGCTCAGGTTTTTTCAACTTTTGAATGTGTTCTATCACATGGACTAAAACTAAATTTTAGATAGCGTAAGGAAAATTGTTAGCCTTTCTAACGATGCTTATTAAAAATTGGTCCAAACTACAACGAAAATTCGAAACAAAAAATTGTTTTCGCTTTTTCATAGACTAACAAATAATTTTTTAACAATATTTGTTGTTGATAATATGGTCCACACCGATGTGAATAGAATCGCGTTATTTGTTTATCGATATCTTTTACAGTTGCATCAAAAAACGACTTTGAAAAAAGGGGCCACTTTCACATATTTTCAATGATATCTCAGCCAAATGATGAACTACGGATTTGAAATTTGATATTTCAAATTTCCTTAAAAATACCTATAAAATGGCATCAAAATTATTTAAATACCAGGATGGGGCCAATTCTGTATGGAAACACGATCAGACCCTTCATGCAACTTATGGAATTCAAGTCATGTCAAAATAGACTTTCGAAAATTATATTTTCAACTAACATTTGTGATCCAACATGCCGATAAAGTAAAGGATCAAAACGATAGACCATATTTTTTGTGAACAAATAATAATCTTTGAGAAACAAAATCAAATATTGTATAAAGAACTATAAAAAAGTCATCGTTTATACACTGATACAATTATTCATCTATAATTTTATTGTTAATAAGAATATTAATTTATAAATGCATAAAATGTTGACAAATGTAAGTATCTATGTAACTGGCTGTTCTAAGGAATATTTGTCCCCAAATTTGATAATATAAAAATATTCAAATCATAAATAAGTATTTGTCTGAAAATGCAGGAGGTGTCTTTATCGAAAGAGATACTCCAGCCGAATTGGCGTTCAGAAATGCTGTGGATAGATCAAATATGTATAGCCGAAATATCGAACTCATTCCTCAATCTTACTATGTCGGAGCAGAAGATAGTTTTAAAATGATGAAGACAGGTAACAGTAAAAATAAATAATAAAATGTCTATTAAAATATTATGTCACTTAAATTTAGTCATAATATGTCGCAACTAGGATAGGACAACTAGTGAGTTGCCTTCCAAACAAACCATACAATAAAATGTCAAAACAATTACTAAATGTCTTTATAAAATATACTATATTTTGAGATTTTGGTGCATGCACGATAAACTATATCTATCCAAATTTAAATTGTAAAACTTACAGTGGTCGGTTCAAAGACTAAAAAAATTCATTATGCTTTCAAGGCTCACCTATTAAGTCCAAACAATTAATTTTTCAGTATGCAACATGACCCAAAGTGGCGTGGCAGCGATATTTGGGCCAATGACCAATGAAACGGCTGGAATAGTTGGTTCCATATCCGAAAATGTGGAAATGCCAAATTTACAAGTACATTGGTCACCCAGGCCGACTGACAGACGCATGGTTCTGAATTTGTATCCAGACGCTGGATCTTTGGCCAATGCCTTGGCTGATCTGGTTGTGGACTACGATTGGAAGAGTTTTACCATCGTTTATGAAAGAGATGATGGTAAAAGGACAGAATAGAATTAGAATTATATTATTTTAAATATAATAAATTATTTTTCTGAACGATGCCCAATGAACCAGAAATATATAGATAATGCTTATTGCTCTTTTTAGGTTTAGTTCGTCTAAAAGAAATGTTAAAAATCCACGGTCCTCAAGATCCACCCATCACAGTGCGCCAATTGAGTCCTGGTGGAGATTACAGACCACTTTTCAAAGAAATTAGGGACACCTTGGAAACAAGAATTATTTTGGATTGCTCACCGGATAGAGTAGTCGAGATATTAAGGCAAGCAAATGATGTCAAAATGCTCGAAGCTTATCAGGTATAAAAAAAATTATTAGTAAAATTAGATGAGCAAATTTTGATTCTTATAATCTTTTCGCATAATTATTAGGAATAATTGGTTGATTACGTTAAATTGGGAAAACAATTTTGTATAGCACTTTCTGATTTCTAATCACTCTAATTATATTTTATCAAATTCCAGAGTTACATTATAACATCATTAGATACCCACACAATAGATTTTGAAGAATTGAAATTTGGAAGAGCAAATATAACTGCAATGAGAATGCTGGATCCAACAAGTTTCGAAATAAGAAATGCTGTTTTAGATTGGGAAGAAGGCGAAAGAAGATTTGGGAGGAAACTGGATATAACGCCCAATACTGTTACGGTTAGAATTTTTATGGTTGATTAGAAGCTTTCTTTAGAACTGAAAAATATGACTGTAATTAATTATTTGGTTTAAGTGAGCAATAAATTAATTTTGAAAGCCCTAGTCAATGTTCGTACTATTATCTGCAAATGTTATAGTGGCGAAATTTCCAGTCATTTTCTATGCTTTCTCATTATATATCTCAACCCTCTTCGTTTCTCATCAAGGAATTGTGTCTGAGATTCATTTCACTCTCAGGGACTTCATTCCTCATTTAAATGTCTTTACAGTTACTGTAAAGAATTAAATTGTATTTGCATTTACGGTTTTTTTTTTTCATTCTATTCTAGGTAGAAGCTGCGCTAATGTACGATGCCGTGAATTTATTTGCTACAGCATTTGGGGAACTAAATGAACAAAATCCAATAACGACGGAATCGTTGGATTGTTCCCAAAAACAGAAGTGGATACATGGATTAGGGCTATTGGAATATATAAAACTGGTAAATTTCAATCTACTTAAAAATTACGAGACGACTATATTTGTTTGTATTCACTTTTCCATGAATACGACTAGTCAGGATTTAACCAGGTCTTTTTCCTTTTAACCCGGGACCCGTCGGTATAGGGGTGAAAATATATGCGTATAAATATCTGTATTTTATAATAACCGAGAGACTAGCAAAAATAATGAGAGAGGAAGTTTTTGATTGAAGATCAGTATATGTTTTAAAGTGGTCTTCACCAACGACAAGAATTACGTGTAAATCTTTTATCTAGAATAGAGGGTTCTTAATTCAGCAAATACATAATAGATAGTCAATAATTGATACGGCAATTTCTAAAATTAATAGAATTAATTCAGAAAAAAACTGAATCAAATAGATAACAATTTTCCACTAATTCCAACTAATAATTCCAATTTCCCACAATATTCCCTAATAATTTCAGAATTAAATGTCCACCAAATATATTTACTGGAAGTCAAAAAGTTCAATTGCTGTAATTTTTGGTCAAATAATAATATCGTTATATATAATTATTCGACCAGAAATTATTAAGGTAGAGAAAATTCAATCAATTTATTTTGCATGAATATTTAAATCAATTTATTTTGCATGCAGTCATTTGGATTTAACTTCCCGAAGTAGAAGAATAAGAATTGCGGGCTAAAACGTGGACGAAAATTTTTCACTTTTCTGCTATTTACAAAGAAACGGCTTGGCTGATCGTTGCTCAAAATTGATAAACGCTAGTCCTCATCGAGATACATCAAATGGCTTTTAAATTTTTGAAATCGGTCCAGTCGTTTTTGAGAAAACGACGATTTACGGCAAAAAATCTGTTCACATACACGCACACACACACATGCACATACACACACATACTTTTTCTAAATTTGGTCTCATTCGATTCAGAATGGCTTGAAACGTCGAGAAAACATAAAATTAGCTATTCGGATTTTTTGATGAAAACATAAACTTCTCCTTTCGGAAGTTAAAAAAATTTAAGACTTCAGAACTTGTAGAAAAAAGCCGAAAGTAGATTAAAAATATAAATAATGCTTTTTAATAATAATAAAAATCCTGCTGCAAAATACATCAATTTATACGATATTTAATATTTATTTCGGTACAAAGCGCCCATTAGCTTTATAAATTAAAATATTTTGTCTTATCCGTAGTAAAAGTCATTATGTTCTACAAAATGACAATAACCTATCACAATGATGGGTGAATATTTTTCACACACATTACGAACCCTCAAAATGGGGATGAACATAATTTCAAACCCATAGAACATAATAATGAACACTTACCAGAGCAGATATTTGCAGCAAGGCGCTTTTAGCATGCTTCATGATTCTGATGATTGATGATACTGTAACCCTCAAAAATTACATGAGCCAATGGACCTGTGAAAATTTCAATACATAAAATTAATCGCCATTTAGCTTTTTGCCGAGCACTTTATTATATTAAATGAAATTTAGAAATGTAAAACGACACATAGATATATAATAAGCAATATATATTTGATATATAAAATATTAGAAAAAAATAATTAAAATAGATTATTAATAATTAATAATTAAGGTATTCAAAAGAAAATTTTGTAAAGTGTAACATATTGAATAAAAAGTATTTCTTCTCAGAAAACTTTAACTGGCCTCACCGGTCCAATAGAAATCGATGAGAATGGTCGAAGAACAAGTTTCAATTTAGAAGTCATCGAGCTGTCCGAACATGGATTCAAGAAAATAGCAACTTGGGATCCTGTTAACAGAATAAACAATACACGTAGTATGGGCGAAGTTTATTCCAAAATAGTTCAAAGTTTGCAAAACAGGACCATGATAGTATCATCAAGAATTGGAGCACCATTTCTGATGAAGCGAATACCCAAGGATGGTGAAATATTAGAAGGCAATGCCAGATACGAAGGTAAAGATTTAATTATATTATATAATAAATTAATTGAAAACCAAATCTATATTTTATTGGGTTATCTTAGAAATTATCAATAATAGATAAATAAAATAAACTTTTTTTGCAATGTTCCTTTAGAGGACGTTGTGAAATATATTTTGAATTATATATATAATTTTGACTAAATAAATTTGTGCACTTTTCAAAACAAGAAAACAATATAGATAATTTAAAAAAAAATGAGACAAACAAGTATATATTAGACAAAAATATATCCAAAATGTACTTGCACTTTGGTATGCACTTATAAATGTATCAATATTTTGATATTTATACATCCATAAATTTACTAAATCCATAGATAAACAAGTATAATGACTAAATCTTTTTTACAAAATTAAAATTAAAAAAAAAATCCAAAAGCGATTGTTTTTGCAACACAAGCAAAAAGTTTTTTGAGTCATTCAAATCGGATGCTTAGTCCTCTCAAAATCTGCTATGTTTTGTACATTTAGCTCCGTATCTTCAAAACTGCTGGACCTGCCTTCGCAAAAAACTAATCACCACTCCTCCCCATGATTACGAATTGAATGATATTTGGATCATTCAAATCAGATGCTTCGTTCTTTTTACGAATCTCTGAAACGGCTGGACCTGCTTTTGCCAAAAAATAATCAGCACATCTCCCTATAATCGCAACCGAATGTTTTTTGAACTATTCAAATCGGTTGATCCGTGCGCCCGAAAACGTGAACAAAAAATTGTATCCACATACAAACACCCACGCACATCCATTTTTTCTGAGGTATGCCAAAATGTTCAGAAACCTTCAAAACGTGAAGATATGCAAAAATTTTCAATATCAATTTTTTGACAATTGACAATTTTTTGACATTTTTTGATAACTTACCCTACGAGAAGTTAATGATTGTTGCATTCTTTCAACTTAAAAGCCTTAAATTTATAGGATATTCTTTGGATCTAATAGACGGAATATCAAAACTGTTAGGATTCAAATATGTTTTCGAACTAACTCCAGATAATGCTTATGGATCATATGATAAAGAAAAGAAAAGTTGGAATGGTTTGGTAAAACAGTTGCTTGACAGAGTAAGTAATCTTACATTTGCTGAATTTCAGTGTGAAGATCATATTTTATCATTTCTTATTACTTCTAGAAAGCAGACTTGGCAATTTGTGATTTAACCATCACATACGACAGGAGAAGCGTCGTTGATTTTACTATGCCATTTATGACTTTAGGTAACTTTTAGCTTCAAATTATTCAAAAGCAAACTCGAAATATCAACTTCTGTGGGTCTTACAAAAAAAATTACAAACTATTGCTCTTCAAATAATAAAATGTCCACAGCCTTATCTGTAGTCTTTTTAGATCTTAAATTATATCTAAACTAGTTTTCATTGAGTTTCCTAAACTCTTTTCGGGTATCTTCCTACAAAAAACATATTGAAAATATGCATTTCAGAAAGTGTGAAATTATTTTAATTAATTCTAGGTATCAGTATTTTATACGCAAAACCAATTAAGCAACCACCAGATCTTTTCTCATTTCTTTCACCACTCTCTTTGGAAGTGTGGTTACTAATGGCAATCGCCTATATCGGTGTATCAGTTTTATTGTTCGTCTTAGCCAGGTAAATAAGGAAATATACAATATAGAATAATGCTACTTTTTCACTCAATATAATTTATTTCGCCCAATAGGATGGCTCCAGAAGATTGGGAAAATCCCCATCCTTGCAATCAAGAACCAGAAGAACTTGAAAACATTTGGCATATGTTGAACTGCGTTTGGTTGACTATGGGATCTATTATGGGTCAAGGTTGTGATATTCTACCAAAGTAAATATTCCCAAAGAAATATATGAAAACATGATTTGTTGCAATTGGGTAAAAAAAAAATTTTTTTTCGTTAGGGCGATATCAACGCGTATGGTAACTGGTGCTTGGTGGTTCTTTGCACTGATCATGTTGGCTTCGTATACCGCCAACTTGGCTGCCTTTTTGACTATGGACCGTATGGAAGTGTCCATTGAAAGTGCAGAAGATTTAGCAAAACAGACAAAAATCAAATATGGTGCAGTGATAGGAGGATCGACACTTTCTTTTTTTAAGGTACCAATCTATTTTTTTCTTAAAAAATTAAATTTTTGATATCACTTAATGAGTTTTTAATAAATATTTACCAATAGCAAGCGTTAGTTTGTATTAAATGTTTGTAAATACATACAGAATGGTAATATTAAATTCTTTTCAACATTATGACAAAGTCTAAGAAAGGCCTGATGACTTGTATGCCCACTCAAAAATTTAAAACAGCTTTTAAATACAACAATGTTTAAATTTAAACGTTTATTAATATTAAATAATTCAAAAGGAATCATTCATCTTATTATAATAGATGACATATTTACAAAAAAGAAAACATACTTAACACACAGTATTTCAATAGAACCAGCAGTGCCCGAAGCATTGTTTTCTTCGTCTCGAAGTCATTTAAATTAATTTACATGCATTTGAATTATGCATGTTACATGCATCATAAACATTAGTAACATAAACCTCGTACGTGTTTTGAAATATCTTTTATTATTTTTTGTTGTACGATTATTGTATTTAGAAACATCGAGTTATTTTCTAATTTGGAAAAAAAAGAACGGGATCAACAATAAATAAAGGTGAAAGTATTCAAATGATTGGCGGATTGTTTTTCGCGCTCTGAATACTAAAGTATAAATTTTGAAAAATGATATTTTTAAAATATGAAAACCTAATCAATTACTATAAATTTTGCCTAGAGACTTTGATTATCAAAATATGCAGAACTGACATTTTACTTTAAGGGAGTATTCTAATGTAGAAATTCCAAAAAATCGTTTTATTGTTTTTTAACTTCCCGTAGGGTAAGTTCCTGTAATGGGCCTAAAATCGGAATTGAAAATTTTTACATTTCTCGACGTTTTGAAGGTTTCTGAACATTTTGGTATACCTCAGAAAAAATGGATGTGTGTGTGTGTGTGTGTGTGTGTGTGTGTATGTATGTATAGATACAAATTTTCAGTCACGTTTTCGGGCGAAAGGATCAACCGATTTGAATGGTTCAAAAAACATTCGATTCCTATCGATAGGGAAAAAAACTGATTAGTTTTTGGCAAAGGCAGGCCCAGCCATTTCGAAGATACGGAGCTAAATATGTAAAAAATGGCAGTTTTTGAGAGAACTAAGCGTCCGATTTGAATGATTCAAAAAACTTTCTACTTGTCTTAACAAAATATTTGATTTTGGAAAAAAAAAATTGTTTCAATTTTTTTTTTTTTTTTTTAATTTTTGTATATCGAAAATAATTCAGATTTTATTTTTAATTCTGACTATAGTTCTAATATACTTTAATTAAGTAATTTCAACTTTGCAATTAAGTTTATATAATTCTTATAAATATTAGACAATGTTACAATATTTATAATAATCTATTTGAAAACATTCAGTATTCTTCGAACATTTCGTTACGGTACGGGAAGTTCGAGCAATTTGCCTTAAGGCACGATGCCACCCACCCCACTAGTTTTTTCATATTTTCAAAAGTGAACTATTTAACTAGAATATGTGCACGAGAAGATTTTTAAAAATCCTAATGCATTTCGAAGATACAGCTGTTTGACCACGATAATCCGCATTTTTCTCAAAACTGTCTCTTTCAGTACAATGTCCAAGATTTCGCGAATTCTACTGGGCTTGAAATTTTTCATCCACAAATATAAATTCTTTCTTTTTTTTAAAAAATAGAGAAACTCAAAAAAAGTTGTAAGAAAATGGTCTTTCCCACAACGTTTTATTAAATATCACACAATTTTGAAAAATCTACTCTGTCGATTTCTTTCCCACAACGTTTTATTAAATATCACACAATTTTGAAAAATCTACTCTGTCGATGTTTACTAAAAACTATAATTACCATAACACCTAATTAATATCTTTCAAACAGTTTTGAATTTTTGGTACAATTTCCAACTAATATCTTTTCAAACAGTTTTGAATTTTATTAAATCGATTCAAGATTTTTTAATTAAACGTGGATTAAAATCAGTATTAAATGGCTTTTATCTGCTAAAAGAAATGACTCTCGGGGGTCTCATGAAATAATGGCTTTTAAATTTTAAATTGAAGCAGCGATTTTTGAAAAACGTCGACAATAATGGTCAAATTTTAACTCATATACAAGCAGGCACAATTTTTTTCAAACATAAAATCGGATTTTTCGGCCGAAAAATGAACTTCTTTTTCGGGAAGTTGAAAATTTGTTTTGTTTATAGGAATCGAATTTTTCAACTTATCAACGTATGTGGGCTAATATGGAGTCAGCTAGGCCAAGTGTTTTTACTACAAGCAATGACGAGGGAGTCGAACGTGTCCTAAAAGGCAAAAGATTATATGCTTTTCTCATGGAATCTACAAGTTTGCAATACGTGATAGAACGAAATTGCGAACTTACACAGATTGGCGGAAGATTAGATTCAAAAGGCTACGGAATTGCTATGCCAGTCAGTAAGTATTTTGAATAAACTATAATTACATATTTAAAAAAATCACTGAAATTCAAGTCCATAGGCATTTAGCTCCTTGATAATTTTTACCAATATATTTCGCTATATTTGATATAATATTTGATGAAAAAAAAGATATATTTTAAATATATTTTTTTCAATATTGAAGAAATCTATCTACTTAATCGTAATAACTTGACACATATTTAATCATTAAATATTTTGTGATATATAAAAAATACAAACACATCCTCGATCTTCATCGGGGTGAGAAGGTGCTCTATCCAATAAGAGTGATTTAACACCTAGATTTACGGACCCGAGCCAATTTGACTCAATAAAAATTTGATGACTATACACAATATATATATATATATATATATATATATATATATATTGTATATAGCCATCAAATTTATAATAATATGCATACAAAACTATATACATTGATATATAGAATTATGGCGATTCCACTAGATCAAGTGGTGGAAAATGTCTATTTTGAATTTCTTGATAATAAACATTTCATTCAAATTGCCTTTGGCCTATTTTTTTTTTAAAAAAATACATTTTTTGCATGAGCCAAATTGCATCATTTTAGTAAAAATAGGTATAGTATAAACAGCATCCATAAATCTAGTGTTAAGCAGTAGTTTTTTTTTTCAGGAAGTATATTTTCACAGCTGAGGCAAAGATACATAGATCACTTTGAATGTAAAATATTAACTTGAGCCACTCAGGTCTACTGACCACGGTGCAGTTAACGATCAGATCTTCAATAATAACGAAGCGAAATATTTCATAACGAAGAAGTCCTTTAGTCCGGAACACTACAATCCGGTTTTTCCGATAGTCCGGCGTTTTTCCAAAAAATTTGTTTTTTCTCAATCGAAAGCTATTAGAACGTTTTCGGGATGGTTCGGAATGGTACGGAACACTAACTCTCGATTAGAAAATAGAAATTATCAAACGGCTAAAAATCATGAAATTTTTGTTTTTTTGTAAAAATTAAAAATGTTTTTTGTTATTGTTTTCAATAGCAATCAAAATACAGTACAATCCTATTGGGCTATTTGGCTTATATCATTCACTCACACACATACACACACACTTTCAAACACACATATAAATTATTGTGATAAATATTATCTAAATATCGATAGTTAAAAAATCACTCCAATGAGTTACTCACAAATTCTGATTCATTTCTACAACGATGTGGTAGTGCTAAAGGAAAGGTCTTCAATATTATCATTGGGCAGCTTTTTCTTCAGTCTTCTTGAAACTGTTGTCTCAAGAAGCTGAGTGGTTATTGAATTTGAATGATTGTCCAGTTTATAAAAATGTTTAATACTGTTTATTTTTATAACTCTGTTCATAAATTCTACGTTAAAATCGTCTTGTAAGGTTTTATTTCTTATGAACCATAGAGCATTACTAATTTGTCTCAAAATTTTATACTGGGCACGTTACATTAGCACAATGTTTGATTTGTTCGCAAAGCCTCACAATTGTATTCCATAAGTCCATATCGATTTTATCGCCACCTTGTAAATTATTAGTTTATTATTAATAGATAGAATTGACTTGCGTGCCAGAAGACAATATAGTTCAGCAGTCGAATTTTTATAGTTTTTAATTTTGCGCAAATATAATAATATGATCTTTCCATGTCAGTTTACGATCTAGATGCATACCTAGGTATTTGACACAATTAATACTTGAAATTGCTTGGTCATAAAAAATTAAAAATATTTTAAATATATATTCTATTAAATGTAAAATAAGCTTTGTTGCCTGATTTGTTGCCTTGTTTTCATAATTACCACTCGATAGTCCGGAATTTTCTATAGTCCGACACGTAGATCAGGCCCGAGCGAGTCGGACTAAAGGACTTCTACGTATATAGTTACCAATCCCATCAATTATTTCTAGTAATAACATCAATCACAATTCGTCATTTTAGATTCCCCTTACCGTACAGCAATAAGCGGAGCAGTGCTCAAAATGCAGGAGGAAGGAAAACTTCACCAGCTCAAGACCAAGTGGTGGAAGGAAATGCACGGAGGCGGAAAATGTACGGCAGACGCTCAAGTTTCAGACGATTCGGCAGCAGAATTGGGCATCGACAACGTGGGTGGTGTTTTCGTCGTCTTGGGTTGCGGTTGCGGAGTTGCAGTTGTGATAGCAATGTTGGAATTCTTGTGGAACGTGCGAAAAGTCGCGGTGGAAGAAAAGGTAAAAAAATTGAATAGATGGTGTTTTGTTAAATTAAATTCTCGAAGGAAAAGTTTATGTTTTCATCAAAAAATCCGATTCGCTAATTATATGTTTGCCCTACCTTTCAAGCCATTCTGAATCGAATGAGGCCAGGAAAAAGTGTATGTATGTGTGTGTGTGTGTATGTGCGTATGTGTATAGATTTTTTGCCTTAAATCGGCGTTTTCTGAAAAAGGGCAGGACCGATTTCAAAAATTTAGAAACCATTCGATGTACCTATGAAGACTATCGTTTGCCAGTTTTCCGTGACGATCGACCAAGCCGTTTCTTAGTCTGCAATTCTGGTTCAATTTTCAAAAATTCAAAAATCATTCAAAAGATATTTGTTGGGAATCAATCTGATAAGTTTTTGGTAAAGATTCGCTGGCATAAGTTCTTGTAATTAACAGTTGATTTATTTTGTATATTTATTTTATCAAACCGTAACGACCACAACATTTTAACAAGAAATCGATTATATTGTATGAAACAACTGCTTCAAGAAAGTGTAATATTTTTTTTAAATCTTTACAAATAGCAACCAAGATACTGTAATATCTTATAAACTATTGTAAAATGCACAAAAACATAGAATAGAAGAAATATATTAAATTTAACTACTGTGATACAAATCTCGGTAAGGGAAGTCTCTATGAGAGAAGAGAGATTTCAATTATTTTTTTTAAAATCAACTATGATTTTTGGCCAAGACGTATGACCAAAATATATTTATTTAAAAGTACACCATAAAATAACATTCAAATGGTAGAAGTTATAATTAATTGATATGCGTGTCATAATTATTAATGGTTCTAAAGTTTTTTAATAGATAAACATTTGTTTTCAACATTTTGGATAAAAATCGTTAGGCATGCATATCACGTGTGGATACCTGGCCAATTAAACAAGAAATATTCAAAATTCATATTTCAAATTGCATTTACATATATATATATATATATATATATATATATATATATATATATATATATATAAATTGTTTAATATGAACAAAACAGCACTCAGATTTTTTTATCACAACTTTATTTTATTATTACAAACGTTTCGAGACTAAGGTGTGCCTCATCATCAGTGTAATTTCAATAACAGTTATTTATTACCAAACATTCTTTTCAATATTTTATTTAAAACTAAATTCGGACTTTTTAATATAAAACATCAACTATACCTTGCATTGGCAAGTGACTTCATAAAATTCTATATATATATATATATATATATATATATATATATATATATATACCTTAATGTTATTATTAATGAAGATACAATTCAAAAAACACTCAAATAATGCATTTTAAAAAATGATAAGGCCTAAATTGCATGCGAAAATTATAATTTAATTATATAATACATAATTGTATTAAAAAATATAGTGGATAAAGATACTAAGTATTTTACGTTTTCTGATTTCAGATAACGCCATGGGAAGCATTTTGCACTGAATTGAAATTTGCGCTTAACTTTTGGATAGTAACAAAACCTGTACATAATAAACCGAGTGAGTCAGGATCCCAAAAATCTTCGAAATCTCGAGAATTGTCAGAATCTAGATCAACTGCAGTTAATGCATTAAATACAGCATCAAGTTTCTTAAATCTCGATAAAGCTGGAAACTTATTTCACTAAAGCCGATTGTTTTTTTTTTGTGAACTCTCCATACTAATTCCGCAGAAATACATGAGTACATATGCATTTTTTCCATGAATAGTTATAATCAAATCAAATAAATAACTATAAATGCATTAAATCAAATGTATATACAATTGTATCAATATCTTTACGCACTAATTTGTAGATATAATTCTAGGTGAAAAAAAGCAAAGACATAAAGCATCCTAAATAACTTGAATGTATTATTGTAGGATAATTTACAATGTATCCAGAAATAAGGACTCTGTCCTTTCTGAATCATTACTGTAAAAATTAATATCAGAATAAGAGGAAATAAAATGATTAAAATTTATTTATAAATTTATTTAACACAGTGTAATAAATAGGTTTTAATATACAATACTAAATAAATAATTTATAAGTACTAAATTTGGCACAAAGGTAATAATAATAATTCTCCTATAATTTACAATATATGTAATTTAAATAACGTGTTATCTAAAGTCAGAAAAAGAAAACTGCAAAAATTAGATTGAAGTATGGAATTTTAATTTTATCATATTTTGTTGATAGAATTTTGATTTATTTAAAGTAGCCCAGTTTCTTACCCTAAATAGACTTACTTTTTTATCGTTAGGTATTTGAATTTAAGGGGGGCGATACATGTAACAAGAAAAAAAAAATCGATTTTTTTTTCATAAATCGTTACAATAACATCTCAAAAATATGCCTGTAAATATTCAAAACAAATTATCATTATTTATACAATAAAAACTCATTTAAGTGCCACGCCTCAACTCGACGCTTGAGTGCTATTGTACTCTATCTGTTTCTGTGTCAAAAATTTAAACGCGTTTTTCTCAAAACGACATTTTTAAAATTTGCGGGCGGGATAACTCAAAAAGTTCTCAACCGATTCCAATGAAATTTTGCACACATCTACTTTACAGTAATAGCTTCTAGTTAAACCTCATACATTCCAAAAAAATTTTCAAAAATTAACCCTTTTACCAAAAAAAAACATTGAAAAAAAGGTGAAAAATCGAACTTTTTTTTCTAAGGTGTGCCAATTTACGATTTTGTGACTTTTTTAATTTTTTTTTGGTTTAACTAGAAGATATGTTCAATGAACACATACAAACTAATTTTTTTGATTTCAAATCACCGTACGAAAAGTGAGAACGCCCGCAAATTGATGGCGTTTTCCGAGAGGGTCTTGGCAGATTTATTTTTACGGCAGCCATTTAAAAAAAAAAATTAAAAAAAAAATTTTTTGTGTATTTTAATATATAATAAATAACCCTAAAAAAGTTCAAAAAGATTCAGTCATTCCTTCCCAGTTTAAAAAGTCCTCAAAAAAGTGTAAAAATTAAGGCGATTACATGTATCGTCCCCCTTAATAGATATTGGAATAATCATATAGAGAAAAATATTTTAAAAGAACAACATATTTTAAAATTATTATTAGAATAAAAAATTTAAAATTTACCAAATGTTCGATTTGGTAATCAAAACTTTGAACAAAAGTGGTAAGTAAAATTTCTCCCTCTTGAAAATATGAATGCTATGCAATTGTTCGTAATAAAAATTATAAATTTTAGTATTCTATTAATTATTTTACCTTTCCTATCAGTTACTCTTCAGTTCCTCTTCAGTGCACATATGTATTCTGATTTGTATCAGACTACATCTCTCTTGTACATACTTCTAATCAAAATTAATACCATTGGGTAAATCTCCATTCAATTTAGCTCTCTTCACTAGTTCATAATATTCAGTAAAATCAACATAAGATGGTATTTTCTGATCACTATCTGTCATTTCTGATTGTGTCGTATCAGAATTTGTAGAACTATTTGTCATGCTTGCATTTGTGCCGTTAACAAAATCATTTGTACCAGTTTCATATGAATCACTGTTGGAGTAATAAGCATTATTTAAATTCGAAAAGCTCTCTACAACAGGATTGAATTTTACTGTATTTGTGCCTGGCTTTGCGATCAAGCTACTGCAATCTTCAACTTTCTTCGTATTTGTTTCAGATTTTAGTTCAGATTTGCAAATACTTTTTGGTTTTCCTATTTCTTTAGATGATGTAGGTAGCTCTGTTTTCAGAGGATAATTAAAATTTCTCACAAGCAGCGTGATATCTTTGTGACCACTCGATGCAGCTTTGCCCAATTTATATAACTCTTTGTGCATTTGAACTGTTTTATCTACGATTCCTTGAGAAACCGCATTTAAAGATGTATGAACTCGAAACTAAAAATTATATGATCTTCAACAAAATTTATTTGACTTTTAGGATTGTTAGATGATAATTTGAAATATAATTATCAGTTTATAATTATTGATTACACTGCGCGACAAAAATGACACTTTAATATTTTTCCTCAAACTTTTTTTTTATTTATCAGTGTTATTATTAATTGAAATTTTATTATATATAATGCTGATTAGATACTTAATTACTATTTTGAATAATCTAAGCTTTATTTAGTATTTAACAACTCTCCCAATCACAAGGTGATAAATATCATAATATTGCAATGTAAGGGTTAAAACTAATGAAAGTCTCCAAAAATTTAAAATTTCAAGATATATTATAATTACTTTGTTATAAAAAAAATAATATAAATGCATTCTCAAAGCATTTTGTATGTTAAAGTAAAACTTTTCAACAATTGATATAAAATACTAATTAGTGCATTTAAATATTTTAATTTTTATATTGCATTATTTTTGCAAGTTTGTGTTATTATATTTGCTTATTGTATAATTGAATTAATATAAAACTCTGAACTACATGACGAACTAAAAATCATATAGTATTAAAAAATCCATAAAGTTTTAATACCGCAGCTGCTTTATCAATATCAATTTTATATGAAATCAATCAATCAATTTATATCGATATCAATTTTATATCAAAAATATTTTCATAATATTGATAAAAATTTATTAAGCAGTAGCATTTAATTTTAATATTAAAAAATTTGGAAACATTCAGATCTACGAAATTGATATAGCATAAAATATATTTTAGCAAGATTGCAAAATTAGCAAATTGAGTCCAATTATTAAGACACACACAGAATCAAGAACTTAACATTAAAATATAATTCAATAATTAGTAATAATTAGTAATTATCAAATACTTTAAATAATGAAACATAAAAATATCTAACCTGTTCTACAGCCATTTGTGCCAAATGCCGGTTTACTTGATCGTATTCAATACACTTTGCTTCCTGCAAACTTTTATATAAACCAGAGCTCATCAATAGCAAAAACCTGAAAAATAAAAAAAAAACTTTATAATATTTTTGGAAAAATATAATATATAATTCAAGTTATAAATAAATATAAATAAGAATACAGGAAAAATGTCTGTACATTTGATCTCGTCAATAAACTCATTCACCTGCAAGAATCGTCAATTTCTATTCCTCCATGAATTTCTGGTTCTGCTATAACAGGTTCTGAAATTGCTGATGCCAAGTGCTGATTTTCTTTATAACCACCTTTTAATAAATAAGAACCAATGCATCTTGTGCATTCTAATACTCTATCTGCAAATGATAAAGCATTTGAATTTAATAATAATTAATAGCGATTAAAAATACAGGAAAAAACATTAATTTAAATGCGGAACCAATAGTCCAGTCATTTGGTCGTTTTGCCGGTACAGTACTCCGGGAATTCTGAAAATTGGTGATCTTATAGATTTCGAGGTGCTCTTTACGAAAATCAACTTTGCCACCTCAAATTTGAACGGCAAGTTGCCGCCATATTGAAAAAATGGCGTCAAAAAACAGCTTTTTTAAAATATCTCCTTTCTGGCTCATTCTACGATACAAGTATATATGTACGAATTAAACTACAGAAAATTTCCTACAATTCTTTAGAAACCCGTTTTTTTGTAAAATTGATAGTTTGAGAGTACGGCCGCCTCAAAATCTTTGCTGCTCTCGCCGTTGTATCAAATCTGTCCATATATGACAGCGCTTCGAACTTGACCACATTCTCTCTAATAATTAATATTTTCAATGTTAAATTAAGCGAATTAGATCTAGAAATAAAATAATTCAAATATTTTTCTGTTTTTTTGCTGATTTTTTAACGCTTCAAGCTACTTGAAGCCATGAGGTGCTACTCAAGCTATAAGTATACTTATAGCTACTTTGCCATTGAAGTGTTGAAAAATATTTGAATTATTTTGTTTCTAGATCTTATTCGCTTAATTTAACATTGAAAATATTAATTATTAGAGAGAATGTGGTCAAGTTCGAAGTGCTGTCATATATGGACAGATTTGATACTACGGCGAGAGCAGCAAAAACTTTGACGCGGCCGTACTCTCAAACTATCAATTTTACAGAAAAACGGTTTTCTAAGGAATTGTAGGAAATTTTCTCTAGTTTAATTCGTACATAGATACTTTTATCTTAGAATCAGCCAGAAAGGAGATATTTTAAAAAAACTGTTTTTTGACGCCATTTTTCCAATATGGCGGCAACTTGCCGTTCAAATTTGAGGTGGCAAAGTTGATTTTCGTAAAGAGCACCTCGAAATCTATAAAATTTCCAATTTTCAAAATTCCCGGAGTACTGTACCGGCAACAGCCTTTTTTTGCACCAAATGACTGGACTACAAATCAAACCAAAAGATAGCATAGCAAATTTTGAGATAATACTAGGACTAATAGATTAATAATATATTACACTATTATCTTTAATATATTGCCTTGTTTGATTTTATCCATATTCAGTCCCAATTGTTTCAATCTAAGTTCTTCATCCTCGTTATAAATATCATGATCAACTGTTAGTTGTAACACCCTTAAAACGGAATTGCTATCTGTTCTACAAAGCAAAGCTCGACAAGTTCCTATATTAGCTATATATAACTTATTATTATAAAGTAAGGCAACCACGGCACTTGTCCCAACTTTTAATTCTTTGTTAATTGCTTCTAATGTATCTTTATCTTTCTTGTACTGTGTCGACAACTGCAAGAAATAATAAATATGAAATTGAAAGTTATGGAGATGTTTATAATAATTTTGAAATACATTTGATTTTTTAAGTACGGTGGTACCTTGACAAACTAGCGCCCCAACATACGAGTTTTTAGAGATACGAGCCGCCAAAAGAGCAATTCGTTGCTTCGACATACGAGTAGAATTCGAGATACGAGCTTCGTGCGAGTAATTGTCGAAAAATATTAATAGCAAAATGAAAACATGAAAAACTTTGTCAGTAGTAACAAGGATTTTCCTACCATAAAAATGATTTGGCTGTTTTATTATAGTAAATTCAATTATAAATCAATATTAAATGTGTGGTAACAATTTACCCACGCAAATATATCAAGGATTATTTTAGCATTTGAAATTTTAACTATACATTAATAGTGATTGTACAGTTTTGTATATGTTGAGTTAGCATTTTTTGCTTTTTGAACATTTACAAAATATCATTTACTTTTATAACCACAGATCTAAAGAAAAGAGCAATGTCTCTTAAATTAAAGTGAAAAATTTATAAAAAATATGAGGATGACGAGGATGTATCGTCATAAGTATGTACTGTGTTTTAACAGAAGGATTTGATAAAGGGTATAAGTCCAGCTTAGGGCCTTACAATAATTTATAAGCAGCTTTCAGAGCTCCAAAAGTTTGTGGATAAAAATCCACTAAAGTTGCAATAGTTCGAACATGAGAGTTGTTCAACACAACATGTCTAATTCATTTCCACAATATCATGAATGGACAGGGAAAAACAATAATTAAATTAATAGATAGTAAATTTATTTTTAATATCCAATAATCCTAAAAACCACTGTGCTGAAACAAATTAACGGCATTTCAATGTTTTTATATTGAAAAAAGTGCTTCGAAATGCGAGCGATTCGACATAGAAGTGTTATGGAACGAATTAAACTCGTATGTCAAAGTACCACTGTATTTTAATAACAAAGAAAAATATTGCACATGATCATGTGCAGAATAAATAAATTTGTTGTCTAAGATAATAATATACCAAATTGAAATTCAATCGATTGAATTTCAATTTGGTATATTATTATCTTAGACAACAAATTTATTTATTTTATTCAAAGCATTACTCAAATATTTTTGAAAAAATAAAATAAAAAAATACATTTTAACATACTTCATCTTGATTCAAGTTTGGAGGTAGTTCATATTGCAATCGCTTCGCTAATAGTTCATCTATCGAGTCCAAATATCCCTTTTCAACAGATATGAAAGCTTGCCTGAAAAAATCATACATAAACTTATAAGTTAATTGGTAAAATGAATTATTTGGAATAATTTTAATTTTACATAAAGAATTATTTATTGGAACAACCACATTCACAAGATGCTAAAAACTGAAATTTTGTGACCTCAATAAATTGAAATTGATTGTATATTTATATATTTTTTTTAATTATTTTTTTATGCAAATGAATAAATATCAATCCATTTGTGGAGCATAATAAAACACTTATTTACAACAAGATACAAGATTCTTGTATTGAAGTTTGTGTTGATTGTATAATTGTAATTGAAAAATTAAATTATTACCTTAATACTTCCTTCACTTCTTCATCAGATTGTTTTCCAGTTAGTTGACCCAGTACGATTTCTGCTGTTATCCTTTGTAAAGCAAAATCCGCATATTCTGGTCCATAATGACCATCGAATACACCGTACAAACAACTAATAATAATAAAAATCTATTATATTCAAATATCTTATCTTTTAAAGTAATACTCTAATATTCTAAGTCTTATACTTTGGTTCAACTTTCAAATTAATGTTTTTTATATCACTCTAATCATTATTCAATTCTGAAAGTTTTTGATTGGTACAAAGAGTTTTACGAAGAAAATGAAAAGACCTTACTTGTTAACATGTGGGTATTAAGAAAACGAATATTTTGTGTTTGCAATTATAGAAACTGTTATAAACGGAACCACAAATGGAGGAATAGAAATTGCTGTTGGTTCTTTCATCATTTTGAATTATGTAATTGCAAAAAGTTTTATTTATTTCAACCAATTTGCCTCGACCTTAAATCAATTTAACCTATTTAATATTTTGCAACCTATTTGAATTGATTTTAGTCGATTTGAAAGGTGATTATTTTGACAATATTAAATATACAGGTTTTTCTTTTGTTATCATTGAATATTCATAGCTTGGTATTTCTTTAAAAATCATATAAAAAAAATATTCATCATTCTTTGTTGTAAACTATCCTTATTGTTAAATTTAATAAATGACATTAGTAATTTAATAATTTAACATTATGGTTAATAAATTGAGTATGTAATATTTGTAATTCTATGTGTCAACAATTAGGAGACAACTACAACAATAACAAACAAAAATAACAATAATGTATAGGACTATAAACATAAAATTAAAACACAATAAATTAATTCTAGTGCATATGAAATAATTAATAGAAATGTATCCACTGTCAATGACTGTATAATATTACAAAAATATATTATTTTTTACTTACATATTTTCATCAAGTCTGCAATAAAAATTGCGACAATTGAGTGAATGTTCATTTTCATGTTCATTAATTTCACAAAAAGATTCATTTTTGGAAAATGCTGAACCACAATCCCAACACACTGGTAAATCGTCTGTCCAAGATAAAAATGTTTGTCCAATGTCATTACTCATTTAAATATATTAATTAAAATTATTGCTAAGGCGACTATTTTTGACAATTGTGTTTGACAATGATTTATTTTTAGGTTAATATGGCAGCGCCATCTGTTGGACGTTTTCTTGAACTTGGTAAAACCGTTATTTCAAAATGTTGACAATGTTGCCAATTTTATCCTTTTACATTTTGAAAATTGGTTCTTTATTTGGAATAAACAAGGGTTTTAAAATATATATTTAAATAAAATAAAATAAAATTTAAATATAATAAAGTGAAATATAAATTGAAAATATAAAATTTTAAGTATAATAAAACAATATATAATAAACATGATAAAATAAAATATAAATTTAAAACAATAATTAAAATAAAATATATATTTAAAATATAAAATTTAAAATATAATTAAAATTAAAAATATAATAAAATAAAATATAAATTTAAAATATAATGAAACTATGTTAATTAATTTTAAAATATAAAAATATATTCAAAAAGAATTATGCAACATAAAGTTATCAAGAAAGTTGTATAAACCTGTGGAAATATAAAAGTATGTACCTCTTTACTGATATCATAGAAGATTCACAATTAACAAACTGGTCTTAAAGTAAAAAGACCATACGTCCCGGTTTGGACAGAATAGCCCCAGATAGCCCCGGATTTCCATCTTGTGTCTCGGGTTTTTCTAAAAGCGCAATATTTGTTTGTACCGGATTTTGATCTTATGTCCCAAATTATACCGGGTTTACAAAAATTACAGGTTAATTTGTATCTTTGCAATTACTTGATAAAATTAATAATGCCAATCCGGGAGCGGAGGGAGGGGGAGTATTCTTAAATACTATTGAGGGTCACAAAAAACTGTTTTTTTTTTATTGAATCAAATTTGTAAAAAGAAGTGTGGACTTTTAGTAAGAACTGTATTATTCGATTATATGTAATATTATTTCTATACCTGTGATGTTATATCTTATATTATTCGATCTATTTCTTCTTTTTCGCTTTTGAATCTTGAATTTTTTTTTCAACAATTGTTCTTTTTTTTTTCAAAAATTTTGTGAGATTAAAAATAAAAGTTCAAATTAATTAATGTAAGAGGCTTTTCAACACACCTTTGAAATTTTGTATTAAACAATTTTCTCAATCATAACGCATGCTCGTTGCCTTGTAATATAATATATATCATTTCCAGATATTTGTCAGTTGTAATTTTATTATCAACTAACTTTTGTAAACCCGAGACAATCCGGGACAAAAGATCCAAATCCGGGACAAATATTGTTTTCAGAAAAACCCGGGACAAATATTGCTTTCAGAAAAGCCCGGGACTGTCCTGGCCAAACCGGGACGTATGGTTACCTTTGTTAAAATTGTCTCTCAATAATTTAGAACTTCTATTTTCAATTCTATGAAAATTAGCAAGAATTTTAAAAGCGAAGAAATTAATGAAACGAAAACTAAACAAAATTTTAAACAAGGTCTAAAAGGAAAAAAACACAGTTAAAAAAATATAGATATAAACTCTTCTTTTATCTATGTATATGAAATTTAATCAAATATTGATGTTCTTACTAAAAAAACAGTAACTCTGATTCAAAAAAAAAAGAATATTTAAAAAAATATATTGTATCCTTATGTAGTATTTATTATTTTAAATGACATATAAGTTATGTTACATATATAACTTTCCCTTGGAGAGTTAGGAAAATCAATTTAGAATTCTAGTCTTTCTATAATTCGAAATATAGAAAAAACTTATAAATGAAAAATTAAATAAAAAAATAATTGAGAAGGAAAAGGCAAAAAGGGATGCTTGTTGTTCAGCAAAATAAAATCAGAAATAATATTAGCTATCTAAAAAGTAATAAAAATTTTGTATTAAAAACAATACTTAAGTAAATTCGTATTATCGTGAATTGTAACACACTATTTTATAACTGGACATTAATTGCATTCCTGTACAAGTTACTAATTTATTTATATATATATATATATATATATATATATATATACAGAAAAATAAATCATATTATATAAATATATGTATATAAGTATTTGTATAATTTATGTGTGGAGTGTGGTGGAAAACCGTTATGTCATAAATCAACTTTGAGAACTAATTTTATTGCATTCGTTTAATTATAACATTGAATATTGAACTTTTTTTGAAAAATCTTATTACAAAAGCAGTATTTCAATTTCAAATAAAATACGCTATGAATATAATTTAATATCAGCTTTTTAAAGGTAAGTAATCATCAAAATTAACACACTCTGTAATTATGTTTTTGCGAATAAGATTTATTACTGAAAGAAAGATATATAAGTAAGCATGTAATGGCACGGATAGCTTTGAAATTGTATGGCCAATTTATTTAATAATTTATAAGGATAAATTATTTACAAATTTATGCAGAGGCAGTTCAAACATTGACCTTTAAAGTAGGCAGCATTATGCATAATTGAATCCAACGATTGTAAAGTGAAATATTTAATTAATATTTTATTACAAATAATAGTCATCTCTTTAATTTAACTTTTGGCATATTAATTACCAAAATATTAGGTTGGCAACTAAGTAAATGCGGATTTTTAGAAAATCAAATATATATGATTTAGAAAGAATAGGATAGAATTTTTTATGCAACTAAATAACTTTATTCTGAAATACTTTTTCCATTTCGATCACTGACTTTTTGTCATCTTGCAAGCATCATGATTATCCCACTTTCATAAAACTTCTGACTTTTATTAGCAAAAAATTGAATCAGGTACAATTTAATACCATCATTATTATTGTTTTTTTTTTTAATTTAAGGAGTTTTGTTAAAATCGAAACTAAAAGTACCAGATGCTGTAAAGTTTTTTGTATGCTTGTATATAAATGATAAAATAAATATAATTAATAAAAAAAGATCCTGTAAGATTAGGACCACGATGGACTTGGCAAAACATCCCAACCAATAACTTTTGCCGAGTGGCTAAAGATATGTGATGTCAATAATGGAATAAATTACCGTTTTTACCAATTCAATTACTTTCCACTTGAAAATTCCAAGATTTATATGAATTTTGCCGACAGAGCGGCGGAATCCGAGTGGAAAGGGTTAAACTGCTTTGTTTAATTTCGTTAGTTGTTTAATGTAGACATCAAAGTTGATCATTCAGTTGGTGATAACAGTTCAAAGTAGACAATTCCTTTTTAATCAACTTCAACTGGACAACCAGTTTATCTTTAAGTAAAAAATCACCAAAACGAAATTTGGCGAACCAATTTTGACACTGCCATTTTCCAAGTCTTCATAACCATAAAAAGTGCATAACTGTTTATGAGCTTCAGATGCCTTTTCACTATTGCATTGCAAATTGAAAAGCAAAATATGACAAAAATTTCGATTTGTTTTTCCATCTTTCGAAAACTTAACAATCGATCAAAAAACTATTTTTATAGATTGACAGCTGAATTGCAGACTGTCAAATAAAAAGATATTTTAGATTGAGAGAGAAGCCTGCTTTAGAGGCTTCAGAAAATTGCTTTTTTGAGGAATTTTTAAGGAAGGAAATAAAAATTTATTTGAAACAAAATTTTCAGGTTTTAATATTATATATTTCAACATTCTTCTCATTTTTTTTCAATAAAATATATGTCATAATATGCCGGGTACAAGCATTTTGCCGATGCGCCACGAGCGTGCATTTGTTATTTGGCAGGAAAGATGCAGGTCACAATTTCCATCCGAAACAAAGAAACCAAAACAAAATTATATTTTCACTAGTATATTTTCTAGTTAAACTTTAAAAAATCCAGAAAAAAGAGAAAAATTTACCAATTTTTCGCAACTTAATAAAAACATGTTTTTTGATATAAAGAATCATTAGAGATTGTTTAAAAAGTGGGTTAACTGTAATTTTTCGACGCTTGCTCACTATTTCTTCTGTAACTCCGAAAATAATTTGAATTTGTTTCTGAAATTTCAGGGCTATATTGTTCGCTAGTTTTGGAAGACATTTTTGCAAAGAAATGATTAATTGTAATTAATTGTAATTAAGCCTCTAAAGCAGGCTTTCCCCCATAAGACTATGCCAACAAACCTAAAAATTCAGTTGAAACAATGTAAGAATGAACGCCTTGCGTTATTCTTACGTTTACCTTTTAGTTCTGTCATAAATAAACGATAGTGTTCGATTTACAGTATTTCGTTAGTACTAAAACATTTTTTGTCATAAATAAATATCATTAACATTAAAATATAATTCCATAATGTGAATCATATATAAAAACCATCGCCTCATTATTCAATCAATACAACATTTATATAAGATTTTTTTATTCAGCGCAATGGATACATTTCATTTTTTATAATTTTGACACAAAATACATACATGAAATATATACAGATTTAGTAAATATTTACTTGAAACACATAAACATGCATTCATAAGATATATTTACTACAAAATCGAAAGCATAAATGAAAAAAATGAACTCAATAGGAACAGCTTCTTAGCAACGACGTTATAGATTTTTTATTATAAAAAACTATAATATGGAAAATGAACAGACACGTGTATGTCCTTTTGCTCATGTAGATTATGATAAATATTGTTTTTGCATCGTTGTGTATAAAGTGTGTATCAAACTGCATTACATTTTTGCTTCGAGATCATATTGCAAATGTACTTTAGTATTTTGTGAACATTTTTTCGGTTATTAGAACAATAGGATTATATTATTATTAAAATATAGAAAAATATATACACTTACAAAAATTGTTGCATAGTTCTATGCGTGTTTAGTCCTCCGATTCAAATTTGTTTTAAATGAACAACCATTAGTATGTGATTATAAGTACTTATATACATTATTCTGGAATTCTCAGATTTCGAGTATTTTCATCGATAAGTCTATGGCAGTATCAATTATATAACAAATAATATCAAGCTCTATTAATGAATATGATCACAATCAACATATATCATTAGTTAATAGTCAAGTTTACTTTAGTTCATTATTCACATACTTGAACTTATTTCACTGGAAGTACAATAAATATATATTATATATAGAGAGATAATTTACCTATATGTCATTATGATACAAAGGATTGATAAAAATTTCATATAAATTATAGTTATATCTATGTTATAATATATTCGTCCTTCTTATTATTAATTATTCTAGAATTTAGATTATCTTACGCAAATGATAGCTAATAGGCATTCAGGTTATCATTTTCTATTCAAATTATTGATAGATATGATACGTTCAAGTAAATTGTATAGCTCGTTATTTTTCAACAAAATTGCGTTGACTAAACACAAATATAAAATAAATTCTCTCTTCCGATACTCAAAGATATTTAATATAATACCTATAAATGCTTAAATAAAAATATTGATAAAAATATTGTGTCTGTTATAATTGTGATGAAAATTAAGTAACATTAACATAATAAATTCTAAAAAAAACATTATGTTAGAATACTCCCACATAATTTTTTTTTTTTTACTAAAAATACCTTTAAGAAATTATGTTTATATCTTATTCAGTCTTACAATAAAATTTAAGTAAAACAACTTGTAATAAAACCAACAAACTTTTTTCAAAAATAACAAATAAAATTCTCAATATAAATTAGGCCTTTGAGTTCAATTCACCGACTCTTTGTAACTTTTAAAAAAAATACGTTTTTTTCTGAAACAAAATGTTAGCATTATAAAAAAAACTTAAAAGCAACCAGATTCTAAAATATGCAATATACATTATTTACTTATACCTTTATGATATAACTGTTTCACTAACATTTAAGATCAAAATTATTTTACCATTATTTAGTACAAGGTTGCTAGGTTTTTGGTTAAATATGATATTTCACGAATATATACATTATTATAGTCAGTTGTATAAAAAAGCTTCAGAATATCAAATTAATCACCAAAAATTCATGCAACCCTTACATTCAGCCTGTGTAGGAAAGCCATTAATACTGAATTGGTAGGCGCAGTTGAATAAATTATTATTTAGCAAAGCCTAAACAAACTATAGGTTTATACAATACCCTTAAAGTCTCTATTACAATATCGATAAACTTTTACAAAAAATAACCGCAGGTAGCGCAAGTGATTTGAACATTCTATTTTATTTAAGTTAGAAAATATCGCACAAAACAACTTACAGACAAGCACAATTAATTTTTAAGAACGGAATAATATTATTGCCTTCGCTTCCACTTAATTTAGAAAGTTTTTGTAACTATGCTTTACACAATACTAAGATAAATATTTTTAGTTATAGCACTTTTATTTTGGTGTGACTAGTTATACTGAGATCGGATTGAATGCTAATATTTGTACAAGACGTTTTATACTTTTTACGTCGAAAGCGAATCAGCCTATCCTAGATCTGATTTTCTAATTGTCTAGCTTTGTGCAGAATCTTTTTCTGGTGACCTACTAATGTAATACCCATATTACTAAGTTGGGTGGCTGTCAGTCTTGAAATTTGACTGGCAGTTGTTAAATCTGCCGCTGTGAAATTCGCTATATAACGTCCCATCTTGATGCCATTCAACCACTGATCAACAGTTTTGAACTCGTTGACATTGTCAACAGATTGAGTATCATCCTCCGGAGAAGATGTAGCCCTTGTTCCTATCGCCATTTTCTTTAGTACTTCTGGACAACGAACAAGATTGTCTAATGTAATTGTAATATTGCTGAAAACTGGCCTGTGTGTTCTTTGCTTTTGCCAGCAGTCCAACATTAATTGATATAAAGCTTCGGGGCATTCCATTGGAGCCGGAAGCCTGTAGCCTTTATCTATAGATTTTATCACATCTTGATTAGACCAATTCCAATAAGGTCTTTCTCCATAGCTCATCACCTCCCACAAAACAATTCCGAAGCTCCAGACATCTGAAGCAGACGTGAATTTCCGGAACGCTATTGCTTCAGGCGCCGTCCACCTAACTGGTATTTTACCGCCTCGTGTGGTATATGCAGATTCATTACATTCCATCTCACGCGACAGTCCGAAATCTGCAATTTTGCAGACTAATTGCGAATTAACTAAGACATTGCGAGCTGCAAGATCTCTATGTACATAGCTCATTTCTGACAAATATGCCATTCCGCACGAAATACCTCGTAACATACCTACTAGCTGCAAAATTTGAAATTTACCATCGTTGGCTCGAAGGAAGGTGTCCAAAGAACCATTCTCCATAAATTCTGTGATTATCATAACAGGATATGTTCTAGTTACTACTCCTTGTAAATAAATAACATTAGGGTGCTCGAACTGGCCCATAATACTGGCTTCTGTCAAGAAATCGAATCTGCTTTTGTCAGTCGAGCCAGGTTTCAAAGTTTTAATTGCCACATCTAATTCGGCAAAGTTATGTATTTTCAATTTACCCCTGCACACGTCACCAAATTCGCCTCCTCCGATAATTGCCTCTATCGAGATGCAACTTGCATCTATCTCTCTTGCGAATTCTCTTATTGCTTGATTCGGATCCTCGTATGTGTGCGGATCTATATATATTCTACTCGATGCGTACAAACCGGTCGTCATGTTGTTTTGTATTGTTTTCACAATAGGGGCAGTCTCCATATCTGTAGTAACGTAATCAATTTTCAAAGGATTATCTTTTCCTAAATCATCTGATCCTTTAGTTCGGAGGTAGAATACCGTGCCCACTATACAAACAACTAAAGAAAACACTACGGCTACTACAATCCCTGCAACGATTCGTACTTGAACGTTATCCTCATATGTGGGACTCAAACTTTCGGCAGTGTGTCCGTAAATCGGTGTCGTAAATGAAGACCAAATATTTTGCAAGGACTTTGATCTTATTTGGAAAGCATATTCTGTAGCGGGAGTTAAATTTACGATTTCAACGTTATTTTCTTTCGTAATGACTGATGTTAAATTGTATGCTGTTTCGATTTTGTCTTTCGGGAACCAACGTACTTCGTAATGCTCAATTGTAACCGGGTTTGTATTCCATGTTAGCATAGCACTTGTGCTTGTAACAGACTTAATTCTAAGATTTATCACGTCAGTTTTAATATTAGGCTCACTTGTCGTTATATTAATTTCAGCGTAATCTACAACATCACTTTCTATACGCTCGGCAGTATGATTCCATAATCCTATTTCATTTTTAATTCTATAGCTATTTAAAATAGTTTTAGGAATAGATTTAGAAAAAATACGAATTCTGTAAGTCTTCAAAGGGTGTAAATTCGATAAAGATATTTTAGTATCAGTAAAATATTCATCCCTTGGTTTATATACAGTATTGCGGTCGCAATCGAAACATTTTATGCTATAAACAATAATTTCATCATTCGGTTTTCTTGAATCTTTTGTAGCATTAGCATCTTTTGGTTTGTTCCATGTGAGTACTACACTAGAACTATCTACATAAAATTTGGTCAAGTTGGCAGGAGGAGACGGTGTGCGTGTGCACGATATGGTACGACCGATAATAGTTTTAGAATACCCTTCAATGCAGGTGCAAGAGCTTGAACCAGCCTTGTCAGTATTAGAATTTAATGGACAAGGCAAACATGTCTCCATGGACTCGGTTCTATAAGTACCATGTGGGCATTCATTGCACGTTTGTTTCTCAAAATCGGGTTCATATCCTACTTTGCACCTGCAACCTCCAGTAGGCAAAGTCCATTTTCCATCACCTTTGCATAAATATGCTGGTGGTTCTACTATTTCTGAATTTTCTACACAGATACCGCTAACGTGTTCTATCACTGTAACTTCCTTGCCTGTGGGGGTCTCATTGAAATGTGCAAAATTTATTGTCACAGCGGGACAGGCTACATAGTAAACTTTTATAGCGAGCACACTGATGCAAGCTCCTTGATCGCGGAATGCAAAATACACACCTTTCTTTGTAACGGCGATTGATTTAATTTCAGTATTGATAATAACTTCGGTGTTTGTATTGAAACGACCTTCTCCGGCAGCAATACGGCCTATAAGCTTGTAGCTCTCCGGTTCCCAAGGTGGTGGTTCTCTTGTCACCGCATCGAACTCGTAATAAAGCAAGCTAAATGTCTCTTTGCATGACAAAGCGTTGCCGGGGAACAATGAGCAATCGCGTATCGTAAATTTCACTTCAATGTAAAGTCTGTTGGCGACTCCGCGTTCTACGAAAGGCGTCCACAGCCAATTATTCACATTGTGGTACGCAACATCACAAACTACATAAGAACGCCAATTTATCCCTTTTTCAAAATTCGTAAAGGATTCTTCAACCCAGCCGGGAGTAGTAGCAAGTGATCCATGAGGATAACGAGTCCATTCCAATTTCGGTTCCTTTGTCGTGTCCAGAAGCACAACTTGCTCCAGGATCACGTTATGGAAGAACGTAATTATTAAACATAGTTGTAATACTAAATGCATTTTCAAATTTTACTAAGTAGGTACACTATTATCATTATCACAATTAAACTCGTTAATATGTTTTTTCCTCGAAGATCTTGGAATGATATGTTAAAGAAAACTATTTAGATTAAATTATTTTCACATATATTTTATCTCTTAGGATTAATTTAATTTATATTTATTGATGCGCTTGTATTTCTTTTTCTCAAATTTCAATTGATTCAACTTGCTGTATTCTTCATTCCATCTTCAAATATGCAGCAACCTGAAAATAAAATAAAAATCATTATAAATTTTTTAATGTAATGGGTTTAATTAATTTTCGTAATACAAATGATTCGCAAAATAAACCGTAATTACGTAAAAACAATCGAAACGAACAAATATAATTATCTCGGTGAGCGTTGTTACCGTAAAACAAAACAAAAACATTGTACAGATAATTATAAAATAAAGTTTCATTGAACTCATTTTGTCTCATTAACTACTATGTAAATATCATTAGCATTTTATAATCAAGGTAAGCAACTATTACTTGCGCAAAAAAGTCATAAGCATTGAAAGGGCATTGCATTTGAAAGAAGATATTCAAGTATGATAAAACTTATAAATGAACCGTCTTTACTAGTTAATGAAAATACTAATATAAAATAGTATGTTATATTAAATGTTTAATTAAACATTTTTTGCAACCACTGGTAATTAATTGTTAATAGAAAAGTGTAATGGCATTGCATGTATTTTAAGTTAATTTTCTGCGCTACTTTTTTAAATTGATATTGTGTTGTTTTCACACTTCTAAAGAAGAACTTTTTGGGTTATCTCTGAATTCTATTATAAGAAAACAATCATGACATACTTTACACATAGCCAGCAGAAATAAATAGTTTATACAAAATTCTAGTACAATTACTCTTTCGTTGAATACTTATTTTTACACTTTTATAATTATTTTTAGAAAAGTATCTTTACAACTCTAAATGATATAAATTTCACAGGTATCTTATATAGCTATGGTATTTGGTTCGGTTCAATTATGTACACCTAAGTCTGTTTTTACACGGTAGATTGGTTCCAGAAGAAGCCGTGTAAAAAAAGACATTGATCTTATACAAAAATAGGTGATTTGTTCCTAATCTCTTAGACCTAATAAAATTAGTGAAAAATAAGAATTTTTAGGATATTCCCCTAAATTAGTGCTATTCACATTTGCTTTGACCAGTAAAAATTGTTTAAAGATTAATTGCGCTAAAGGGGAATTCACTTAAATCTTTAAGCTAGTGTTCGCAAACTATCGATACTATATCGATGGTTTCAGACTTTTTTCTTTCATAAATATTTTTTTGTGATATGAACATACTTCGCAAAAATTAAATTTGACAAAAAAAATTTAAGTACATAAAATTTCAAATCGTGCTAAATGAAATAAAATCGTGTAAAAAAATTAAAAATATTCAATTTTCAAACCGTGTACAAAAGGACCGTGTAAAAACAGACTTAGGTGTATTGTCATGTAAGTAATTTAATAATTTCCCCTATGTTAAATACTCAGTTTTACTAGTATTAAAATGATTTTAAGTATATAAGTGTTTTATGGTTAAACAACCTAATATATTTTTTGCAGATACAGATCTGCATATGTGATATGATATTTGGGTAGACCACTATGAATAATCATAAAAAGTAATAAGATATTTTTTATAAAATGCTAGTCATGAAGTTAATGCAAATAAAAACATTGTATAACTATAAACTTTTTACTCCTTCATTTGTAGTTATACGTTTGTATAAATTAATCTTATGAAAAATACGAATTGATAACTCGAAAAAGTTAAAAAAAAACATTTTCCAACTACTATTAGAAAATTATATGAACGCACAAATCGAATTATTCATAATTTTATTCTGCATCTTCTGTTCTAACAAAGCTTTTACATATCTTTTACCATTCAGTTTAGAATATGTGTAATTATATAGATATTTTTAAATGCAAAATACGGATAGGTTTGAGCAACTATTCAAACTATTTCACACTTTCATAAAGAAACCATACAAAATATTATGCATCGTTAGAATCATCTCTAAATTCTTAGCTTTTCTTTCATATATAGCAACTTCATATTTCAAACGGTTTAACCTATAGGCGAGATGCAGTACTAAAATTCAAGAAAAATTAGAAAATCTCAAGAAAATTCTTTGAACACACACATCTAATTAACTTCCCGTGGGGTAAGTTATAGTAATCGCAAAAAAATCGAAAATGAAAATTTTTGTATATCTTTACGTTTCAATACCTTAGAAAAAATGGTTGTATTTGTGTGTGTATGTGTTTATGTACGTGTGTGTGCGGATACAAATTTTCGTCGACGATTTCGGGAACACCGATCAACCGATTTGAATAATTCAAAAAACATTCGATTCGTCTTGATAAGGAGACGTGCTAATTAGTTTTTGGAGGAGGCAGATCTTGCCGTTCCGAAGATACGGGGCAAAAAGTGCCAAAAACGGTAGCTTAGTTTTTAAGAGAACGGGGCGTCCGATTTTAATCATTCAAAAAAGATTTTACTTTTATGGATGAAGAACTGACTAAATTTTTGGGAAGGCAGGCCCAGCACATCAAATTATCAAATATTTTGTAGAGATTTTAGTAATGTGTACACATTTTGTGTAATTTTTTTTGGGTTCCGTACCTAGATTTTTAATTACGGTACGGGAAGTTCCAGCAATTTGCCTCAAGGCACGATTTCATGCACCCCGCTAGTTATATCCCGTTTTATTTGTAATTTTATTAAAGCGCTTATTTCTTTATATTTATGTTTATCTTTTAACCATTTTCAATATTTCGACTTGAAATCTCCAAAGTGTTAAAAAAAGTTTAGATACTACCTATTTACGTAAATGTAATTATGGTAATATTAAAAGTTTTATTTAACCTTAGTATCAAATTGAGTACAAACTATGTAAGTACGAATAAAAATCTGGTGTAAAATTACAGTTTTATGACTGATTGGCCGATTCTACCGTAAAATAGACCAAAGCTATGATACGTTCCAGTTTTCATACAAAATTCTACTAAATACTGTCAAGATGCCGTGTCTTTGCTGTACAATCAGGCGTTTTACACATAAAATCAAACCATATCTCAAAGAGAAAGATGACATTGATAACATTATATGTTATCAAACCATATCTCAAAGATCCAGTTGTGCTAACATCATTTTTTTGACTTTTGTGCGTTTTCTAAATTAGGCTTCCTATCTAAAACGCCTGATTGAACAGCAACCACATAGGAATTTGACAGTTTTTAGTACCACTTTATATGAAAACTGCTATATAACAAAGCCTTGCCATAACACTGGTATATTTTACGGCAAAACCGGTTCCTGATTTTAGTAACTTACCTAACAAAAGCGTTTAAAAATATACATCACCCATCCATGTACTTTATAATGTGAGCTAATATTATAAAACAAATTGCGGACGCAAGCTCTACAGCATTCAACGAACCCGATTGCCTACAAGTTTTTACTTATTTTAGAATTTAATACAAAAAGTATGGTATAATCAAAAATGTGTAATATATAATTTTATTTCATATTTATGTACTGGAGTACTGGCACACGTTTGTATTACTTCAGCCGAGTAATTCGAGAAAACAAACAGAACCATCGCGATGCACAAGGTTCATTGACAAATGCCGTTCCATGGGACGCGGCGGTGAGACGAAAGAGTAGTTGTCAGTCAACAAAATGGTACAGGTCTTGCCTTGCATGGTTATTGGATCACATGGGACTTCGAATTAAACAGGGTCCGCATTGCTGGGGGTCTGCATGCATTAATATACAGTATACACACAACATTCATGCATATACATATGTAAAATATGCATAAATTAAACCATATAAATTTGTATAATAAACAATAAAAGAATAAAATGTTCATTGGCTTTTAGCTTTCGGATCTGTTGTCTTTTTTCTGTTCAACGCGATAATGATTAATATTGTGTATTTAAAGCAGATATAAATGTGCACGCAGGTGACTCGTTTGAGGTTATTTCAAATTGTGGCGATTATAATTCTGACAAGGAAAATATGAACGCGCATTTCGACTTAATCTCTTTGCGATGTGTTTTAGCACAGCGTGGAGGTTATCAGATACAATTCTGAACTAAATAGATTTATAGATCATTGGCATATTATATTAATTATATTTGATTTAATTTCCAATACATTCGTCAAATTAAAAAAAAGGTTTCGTAAATAAAGTCACTCCAGATCGTCATTTCAGATATCAGAAAATGAATCACTTCATTTTCGATTGTTAACAAATAAGCATCTTTTTGCCTATGAGGCTTTATGTTCCCTGTTTTAGTTTTTATTTAAATTGCTGGTACTACCCGTACCAAAAATTAATACATTTTAAAAATATTCACTTACACTGGAAATTTATTCAAAGTAGGCGCGATATGTTAGCTGCTTAAAAACGCATTATCAAAGCGCGTGAGCGCCGCGTCACAGAGTTACGGATATACATTCGTACGGAACCCATGAAAATGTAAATAAAATTTGTTCTTATTATTAAAATATCTATAAAATATCTGATAATTTGATGTGCATATGTCTAATGATCATTTTTGTCGGCTAAATGACTTTTTTTTCCTTTTTTATTGGATCCACGAAGCCGCCAGACCTGCCTCCCCAAAAATTCAGTTCTTCATTTTGATAATGCAAATAAAATAATTTTGAATCATTCAATTCGAGAGCTCCCTTCTCTCAAAAATTAAATTGCCTTTTTTGGCACTAATTTTTGCCCCGTATCTTCGGAACGGCTGGACCTGCCTTTGCTAAAAACTAATGAGCACGTCTACTTATTAATACGAATTGATTGTTTTTTAATTATTCAAATTGGTTAATCCGTGTTCTCGAAATAGTCGACTAAAAATTGTATCCGCACATACATACACACGCACGTACACACACGCACGTACATACACGCACGTACACACACGCACGTACACA